TTCTGAAGAGACAGCTTGTTCCCGTAGGAAGCAGTCCCTGCCTGTCGGAATGAAGACTCTGCAATTTGGACAAAACTGGGACTTGGTGTTCTCTGAGTGACCTGCCCCACAACAGCAGGAGGCCCCAGTGAGGTCCACTTTTCTAGTGTTCCAGAGATGGCTTAGGACCACCCAGGGGAAGGCCTCTGAGAGGCGTTCCTCAGCCCTGGGCCATCCCTCCACCAACTCCTCACCCTCCTAAAACTGCCAAGAGTCGTCTGTTTCCCCAGAGAAGGGAAGTCGGGACTGTGCGGATCTGTGTCTGGAGAGGCTCTGGAAAAGCTGGACGCAGCATCATGGACCCGAATCCAGGGCTAGCAAGAGGTTGCTTGGTTCTCTGTCTGGCTTTTCCTGGGTTCTCTGGTCTGTCTGGTCTTGGGTTAAGTTTGTCCTTGGCACCTGATCTGCTGTGGGTTTGATTGTCTACCTTGTGTTTTTGTCTTGTTTGTGTTTGTTATTGTTTGTCCCCTTTTGTGTGTTTGTGTGTGTTAATTTCTACCTCAGTTTGTTTCTGATATCTAAAAAATGGTTAAGAATGTTTTAACTGTGCTCATTAAAGCTTGCATTAAAATGTCAACGGCTGCCAACAGATCAGTTTTTTTTTTTTTTGGTCAAAAAGTAAAAACTAAAGGTAAAAGAGCATTCTAGAGATTGCCTTCATTTAGGAAATGGGCCACGAGGCCAAGAGGGTAGACAATGTCTGTCCCTATAGAGGGCAGATTAGAACTAAAGGGTTTTATAAAATTATTATTTCTAAATTGTGTAAAAAAAAGCCTAATTTTGTCTAGGAAATTTGGCTTTTGTCTCTCAATCTTTGCAAGCATGAATAACTCCCCACTATTAAAAAGCGCCCAAAGATTTTTCAATGTCAGGCTGAAATTTGGTGGCTGCCATCCAAGAACCCAGAAAAACCAGTTTAGAATGGGACCCCAACCTGGGGGGGCTCTCCCAGGGAGACCAGTGGCGCTGCCTCTTTGGGAACTTCCCTGAGGGAGGAAGACGGCCCCATCATTTGTCTATTCCCTTAACTCCTTTACCTTTGATGAGCGGGACCAGCTCAGTACGGAGGCCAGAAAGGCTTTTTTAAATTCTGTATTTGTTAAATTCCTGACTCTGATCCAACACACCTAGGTTAATATGTTATTTTGATTACACTCAGCTTTGTTCTAAGGCCATTTTATAAGGGTTAAGTCTGAATCGAATAGATTTTAAAGAAATAGCCTACAGGGTTTTTGTTGGTCTGTTCTGTGTAGGTGTCCCAGGGTACTATGCGTCTACGTGTATTGCCATGTCGACATATATTTGGTACCAAAATTGACATATGAACTCATGAATTAAAGTTTTAAAAAATGGATCCAAATACCTTTGGTTCATATGATTTAAATGGTTCTATTTAAATAAAATGTCAATGTCTATAAAGTATCTAATATCCATTGTTTCTAGGATTTTTCTTCAAGAGGAAAAAAAATGATGACTAGTACTGTTCAATGCACTTGTCTGATATCTTGATTTTTTTTTAAAAAAATATGTAAAATAGATCTGACATTTATGGATTTTAATCATGGATGTGTTTGTTGGAGACATCTGATTGGTTTACAAAGTTAAAATTCTAACTGTAGAATACAATATCAAATACTCTAAACTTCTTAAATTCCATAAGGTAAGATACTTAAACATTATTGTATTTTCATAAATTGGTAAATTAAAAAGGAGTTTAAATTACTTTGTGTTATCACTAAAATAAGGTTACTTAAAGTTAAAAGTCCCAGCAGGTAAAATTCTATATCCAAGGGGTCCAGAGGTTTCAACTGCATTTCAATTAGAGTACAGTAAAAAACATAAAGTATGTCATCTTGTTAGACAGAATAATTTATCCAGATTCAACAATTTATAAGAGTTATTTCAAAGTATAAACAGAAAGATCAACAGATTAAAAATCATTAAAAGATTCTAAATATAAAAATGTATTTAGTAAAAGGGAAAAAATATCTCCTGGTAAGAAAGTCTTTATGTGGTAAAGTAAAATTGTAATATATCTAAGTGAGCAATGGGATCTAATTAAGTAATATAAAAATCTATAAATAAAAGGTAAATATTAAAAGGTTTATGTATAACTAAGTTTGTTTTATATATTTGTAACACAAATAGTTAAAACTATTTCGGGTTGTTCTCTAAAAACAAATATTAATGTACTGATATAAACCAAAGTTTGACCTATATGTTAAAATGACAAAGACTTCTTGAAATAATAATTACATTGTGTCTGTTAAGTTTTATTCTCTAGAGCAATTAGTCTTGGAGAAATTAAGGTTTGCACATCTGTGGTTAAACAGCAACTGTTATTTTAAAGAATTGTTCTACATCACAGAGTCTACATTTTCCTTTAAAGGTTAAACTTGGTTAATGTAAAAACATCAGATTTAAAGGAACATTTTATCAAGATGTTGTTCTTCAACTAAAGTTGTCTCATGTAACTTTAAACTTGTAAGGATAACAGATTTTACTGAGGATTTATTTATATCATGTGATGTTTTGTAGCCAAACCTTACATTTACTTTTACCCTGGGATATTAAAAT